AAAGAAAGTACAGTATAAACGATGAATAAAGGGAGTAATCATATAAAAGACATGCTTATAAATGCTTTGAGTAGCATTAAAAAGAGAAAATGGTGCACCTGAATCATATACCAAACGCAACGCCAAGCAGCTCTTGAGAAAACAGGAGCCATCATTTCAACATACCTGAAACAATTGGAGAAACTTTCTTAAACTGTAGTAATGTGAAGGGAAAACTCGTTAAATTTGAAGTAAACCACAGAACTTTTACCCTGTGCAAGGAGGAGCAGAGCTATTTTCGTCACAACCTTTGCCTCTACCACCAGTTTTGTAAATCCTTCTGCATGAACAATGACAAAATGCATACTCAGTATACACACAGGTATCTACTTTAAAACTTAGTACCTTAAAGTTCACTAGTGCAGGTTGGGGAAATTAAGAAAACCTTCTGACAACAGAAAAAAGTTTAAACAGGAGAACCTGTGTACTTTTGACCTCCTCCCACGTGCTGTAATCTGATGATGTACCTCTGAATTTTCAGTATCAAGTGCTGGTTGTGATATCTCAAGTCCTTCACTTTCTATAATAGAAACATACCTACAATCATTGAAGTATATTTCAGATCAACTACTAATGCTTAAGATGATGTAACAATAACGTAAGACTACGTTATAACAGCTAGTTTTAAACTACGTTATTTACTATGATGAAATTTAGTGGATACAGAATATTGAACATACCTATCAGGGTGGAAGTTTTCAACTCCAAGATCCTCATCCCATAGGAAAATATAACCATATTCTGCAACTATGTCCGGGTGTAAGAAACGCTTGGCAAACCACCTAGTCAAGGAAAACAGGTCCAAGAATAAACGTTTTCAGGATGAATGAATCACTCACATATTCTAGATTTCAAACAAATGTGAGGTCCCCTACCATTTACTTTGATTGGCTACAGCCACGTGAATGACCTGATTATTCCATTCAAAGTCATTCCATTTGTCAACAATGCCATCATAGTGGAAAAGCATCACGACAAAATTACTTGATAGAAACTGCAATTTGGGTTAGAAGGAGTCATCTCTCAATACATATCAAAAAAAGAGAATATCAGCAATGAATATTCCGTAGGGAATACTCCTCAAGTTACCTTTTTGACCATTTTGTTCACAAGGTCTTTCTGCTTTATCCCAACAGCAATTGCAAACAAATTGGTTGACGCGTTTTGCTTATTCTGTTCAAATGTGTCGAAAATAGAAAAATAGCTTAAAACAGAATGCACAGCTGTAAGGAGTATTGAAATTGCAGAAGTTAATGACAGGCTTAGAGTCACAAACTCAGAATATGTGAGTATGCAAATGCAAACTTTCTCTTGATAAAACAAAACAGAGTATCTGAACATATATTCTTGACTCTGGTTTTAGTATACTCGTTATCACGGTAAATGAACAGATATGTTAGTTAATTTTAACATCATACCCTTTTGAAATTGAGAACTCTACTGTGACAACCATGCATAAGCTTGATACACCAAAAATATTACCAGCACTAGACAAACAAATTTGCAGAGAAAACGTACAATTCTAATAATATGGTCTTGTTAGGACACGAGAGAAAAAAAATTCAGTGGTCATGAATGACAGAAACTCACCTTTATTGTCTTAGTCATAGGAAGATTCCACAAATGCCTCATTTCCAAATCAGAAGTCTTGGAGATTATGCCTTCAGGGAGTGCACTGCTTCCATCAGACCTGCACTGATTCTACTAAACAAAATAAGCAAATGTAAGCATTCAAGTTGAACAACCTATGCAGTAAACCATATCAATAACTCAAATACTCTCTAACTTACATACTGAGTAAGAAAACGAACCTTGCAAGTATCATTTTCCAATTTCTCGGTGTTCATTCTCCATCTCGATAGTTTCTGCAGTACAAAATCAAACTGTCGTATTTACATGTTCAAAATATGAAGGAACATGAACCCTTGTATAGTTAAAGTCAAAGTCAAAACCAATTGGCTATTTGATCCACAGACAACCGTATAAGGATCCATGAATTCAACCCAAATTTGCATTCATGGTGAAACCAGGTCAACCAGCTCCCATGGAAAATGAATAACAATTCTGAAACAACTCCATGCAGAAAAACTATTTCACCGGTTTATATACCTGGTTGTAGCGTTGAGCAAAGAATGAACTCGAGAAAAGCAAAACAACACAAACTATAGAAACCGCCGGAACGATGCCACAGAGGCATGATCTTTTACAATCTGAATCAGCTTCCGAAATTTCCTGGTACGAGAGGTTGGATGAAAAAGTTAACCCCTTTTTGCAGTAATCAATTCATGGTTCTTCTATACAAAATAAAAGGAAAAGAAGAACGCAGAGACAGATATACTAAAAGGAAATAAATTAAAACTGACGAAACAGCGCAAGGGAACATAAAACGTTGGTAACATTAAACAACAGAGACAACAATAGATTCAGCTGTGACAATGAATGAATGAAGGTTACAGTAACCTACTCGACTGTGTGTCTTCATTTTCTGCTTTCGAAAGCAGAGCAAAACACAAAGGTTCAGTTTTACTCTGTGTACAATCTGTTGACCAGAAACAACGAAAGATGAAGATCAAATTGAAAAACAAGGTTTTTAGTGACAAAAATAGTGATGGCCATGATCACGATTGAACGAGAATAATTGTAAATTACCTTTGTTTCAGTGGATGTTGATATAGTTGGTTGATAAAGAAAGATAACAAACACGGAATGGGATAGCACTTTGCACGATGATCTTCTATAATCTATGTTATGTTGGAAAAACTAAGGTTGTTGTTGTGGAAACGTGCAATGTAGCATTTATATATATTATTACTTTCACGCGCCAAAGTAAAATGTTTTGGTCGTAGTTTTCTGCTAATCAAATGGATTATGTTCTGTAACTGCCGATTGCATCACTGGCATGTATGTGGCGTAATAACTTTGCGTTAACACATGTGCTTAATTTCCCTTCAAGTTTACAAAAGGCGATATTTTTGTTATTTATTTTCCTATGATTACGATATATGAACATGAATGATTTATTGACTTGATTTTAATATCCTTTTGATTGACTTATATTTTTATTCTTTTAATTTGAAAAAAAAAATAGAGAAACACAGAGAGAGAGAGAGAGGTTCATTATCGTCCAAAATTATTTAATTTAATTGGCCTATGGTTATGATTTTTATTTGAATGTGATTTGTGTAATTAGGATTTAATAGTAGTTCAACCTTCGATTTATTAAATTGGTTAAACAAATCAATCATTATTCAAGAGATTTGTGGTTCAATCCACATCAAACCTTAATACTTTTAAGTGTTAATTAATAATTTATTTTCTTTTAAATATATTTTTCTACAAATTCCAAATCTAATTACTTTTTTTAACAAGTTCAGGTTCAATTCTATCCACTCTAACAATGTCCGTCATCAATTATATCGACACATGAAATAAAAATGTTATTACTTAAATTTCTATTTCCAATTTGGTTCAAATTCTAAATCTTGATACTTTAAGATATTGTCCTAAAAAGGTCATAATTCGATAGGTTTTTCTGTTTTAGTTGTTTTCTTAAAAAATAAAAATAAATGACAAGATGTATGATTTATAATAAAAAATAAAATTATTAAAATAATTTTTTTTAATCATTAAGAAATAATATATTTCTATATTAATATAGTCATACAAGATAGAACTATAATAATATGATATATATACATTTTTAAACAATTATATTATGATTTTATTAGAAAACTATATTTAACATGATCTAATATAGTTTAACCGTTGAAACCAATGATGCCTCAATTACAAGAGGTATTTCTACACTTACATCTTCATTTGCTTACACCGATAAATTATCATTGCAAAAGAAAAAATAGCACATAATAAAACAATACAAAAGAAGGATAAGTTAATATGCAAAAAAGATGTCATATATCACAATTTCGTTTATAAAAACATACATTTCATAAGTGAAGACAAATCTAGACTCAATTATCTGGATACAAACACTAAATCTTGGGAAGTCTTGCAGTTGTGGGGCCTCTACTGCCATGTAGATTCATTATCAATGAGTTTCACTCTATCATACACATACACAAGGTTAGTTCATTAACATCTTTGGCTAAGATAAAGCCTCTGGACTAAGAGACAACCAATTCAATGAAGTCTCTGACTTTGGATTCACTCGACGAGAATATCCTCGCCCAGCGACTACCAAGTCAGTGGACTTTTTATCTTTGGTGTCGCTGTAATGCCTTCCTCATATGAGTCTCCATAATTGTAGATAATGAATTTCTATAATTATATAGATCCATCCTTTCCAAACTCATTTCAATACCTTCATAAACACCACTAACACACTAAATTTTGAATTACAACAATCAAACTCAATCCAAACCATTTCAATTGCAATATTACTCTTTAATTTACTTCAAAATTCGTCATACAATCAAATCATGTAATTTAGGAATCTAACTTCCAATTCAATAGGTCATGCTCATCACACAGTTCAATCATTCGTACAAATCACAGTGCAACTAACACACCAAAATTCAAATTACAATAGTCCAACTCAGTTCAAATCATTTCAATTACAATATTACTCCTTAATTTACTTCAAAATTCATTATACTAGTAAATCATGTAATTTAGGAATCTAACCCTAGTTCAATAGGTCATGCTCATCCATAATTCAATCATTCATACAAATCATAGTATAGGCATTAAATCAGTAACTTGAACATGACAAAAACTTAAAATAGTCCAATTAGCTTCACTTATCTGTGACGTCGCTCAAACAACTCTAAATACACCAAAACATCTCTAACTTCACAAGATATTTTATCTACACAAAACATCACAAAAACGATCCGAAAATATTATTATGATCAATGATCAACAAGAACACATAGAAGACAAAAAGAACACATGCAAACATAAGAAATTTCACATGCAAAAGAAAATAGATTTGAGTCTAGAGAAAATGACAAAATATAAACTTTTTCTATTGGAGATTTTAATAGTCCACCTTTGAAGAACTCGATGCTCTGATCACATAGACGATCTCTTATCATCAAACAAATAAATAGAGACAGACAATAGAGAAGTAAAAAAACTTATAAAAATTAAGATATACTATGCTCTATAATAACGGAATTCAATTCTAACTAAACTTATTTATACTAAATCCTTTTAATATCAAAATAATTAGTCTCACTATTTTTAAATTATTATCCATTTTAAAATATAATTTTCTAAATTTTTACAATATAAGTACTAATAATATAACTTTTTAAAATATTAATATATGTGTACTCGTAATAGTTAACGTGATTATTAAATAGTTACATTATTCTAATTGAATTAAATATGCTTTTACAGTTTTCTTAGAATAATTTTTTAAAATAAATTTTACTATATATACAATTATACATACATCAAGATATATATACTATTTCTTATCTGTTTAACCCTACTCAGTGCTCTACGCTAAGATCAGCAAAATGAACTTAAAGAAAAATTGGTTAAAGAATGAGAAAAAACTAAACAAAAGTAATCTAATTAAAAAAATATTAAATAAAATTAATTTAATTTTTCTTAAAAAGTATAAATAAAATTAAAATATTAGTAATCTTTTTTTTTTCTTTTTACATGAAAATTTATTATTATTATTATTATTATTATTATTATTATTATTATGATTTGCATGTTCAAAATATGAAGGAACATGAACCCTTGTATAGTTAAAGTCAAAGTCAAAACCAATTGGCTATTTGATCCACAGACAACCGTATAAGGATCCATGAATTCAACCCAAATTTGCATTCATGGTGAAACCAGGTCAACCAGCTCCCATGGAAAATGAATAACAATTCTGAAACAACTCCATGCAGAAAAACTATTTCACCGGTTTATATACCTGGTTGTAGCGTTGAGCAAAGAATGAACTCGAGAAAAGCAAAACAACACAAACTATAGAAACCGCCGGAACGATGCCACAGAGGCATGATCTTTTACAATCTGAATCAGCTTCCGAAATTTCCTGGTACGAGAGGTTGGATGAAAAAGTTAACCCCTTTTTGCAGTAATCAATTCATGGTTCTTCTATACAAAATAAAAGGAAAAGAAGAACGCAGAGACAGATATACTAAAAGAAAATAAATTAAAACTGACGAAACAGCGCAAGGGAACATAAAACGTTGGTAACATTAAACAACAGAGACAACAATAGATTCAGCTGTGACAATGAATGAATGAAGGTTAGAGTAACCTACTCGACTGTGTGTCTTCATTTTCTGCTTTCGAAAGCAGAGCAAAACACAAAGGTTCAGTTTTACTCTGTGTACAATCTGTTGACCAGAAACAACGAAAGATGAAGATCAAATTGAAAAACAAGGTTTTTAGTGACAAAAATAGTGATGGCCATGATCACGATTGAACGAGAATAATTGTAAATTACCTTTGTTTCAGTGGATGTTGATACAGTTGGTTGATAAAGAAAGATAACAAACACGGAATGGGATAGCACTTTGCACGATGATCTTCTATAATCTATGTTATGTTGGAAAAACTAAGGTTGTTGTTGTGGAAACGTGCAATGTAGCATTTATATATATTATTACTTTCACGCGCCAAAGTAAAATGTTTTGGTCGTAGTTTTCTGCTAATCAAATGGATTATGTTCTGTAACTGCCGATTGCATCACTGGCATGTATGTGGCGTAATAACTTTGCGTTAACACATGTGCTTAATTTCCCTTCAAGTTTACAAAAGGCGATATTTTTGTTATTTATTTTCCTATGATTACGATATATGAACATGAATGATTTATTGACTTGATTTTAATATCCTTTTGATTGACTTATATTTTTATTCTTTTAATTTGAAAAAAAAAATAGAGAAACACAGAGAGAGAGAGAGAGGTTCATTATCGTCCAAAATTATTTAATTTAATTGGCCTATGGTTATGATTTTTATTTGAATGTGATTTGTGTAATTAGGATTTAATAGTAGTTCAACCTTCGATTTATTAAATTGGTTAAACAAATCAATCATTATTCAAGAGATTTGTGGTTCAATCCACATCAAACCTTAATACTTTTAAGTGTTAATTAATAATTTATTTTCTTTTAAATATATTTTTCTACAAATTTCAAATCTAATTACTTTTTTTAACAAGTTCAGGTTCAATTCTATCCACTCTAACAATGTCCGTCATCAATTATATCGACACATGAAATAAAAATGTTATTACTTAAATTTCTATTTCCAATTTGGTTCAAATTCTAAATCTTGATACTTTAAGATATTGTCCTAAAAAGGTCATAATTCGATAGGTTTTTCTGTTTTAGTTGTTTTCTTAAAAAATAAAAATAAATGACAAGATGTATGATTTATAATAAAAAATAAAATTATTAAAATAATTTTTTTTAATCATTAAGAAATAATATATTTCTATATTAATACAGTCATACAAGATAGAACTATAATAATATGATATATATATATATACATTTTTAAACAATTATATTATGATTTTATTAGAAAACTATATTTAACATGATCTAATATAGTTTAACCGTTGAAACCAATGATGCCTCAATTACAAGAGGTATTTCTACACTTACATCTTCATTTGCTTACACCGATAAATTATCATTGTAAAAGAAAAATTAGCACATAATAAAACAATACAAAAGAAGGATAAGTTAATATGCAAAAAAGATGTCATATATCACAATTTCGTTTATAAAAACATACATTTCATAAGTGAAGACAAATCTAGACTCAATTATCTTGATACAAACACTAAATCTTGGGTAGTCTTGCAGTTGTGGGGCCTCTACTGCCATGTAGATTCATTATCATTGAGTTTCACTCTATCATACACATACACAAGGTTAGTTCATTAACATCTTTGGCTAAGATAAAGCCTCTGGACTAAGAGACAACCAATTCAATGAAGTCTCTGACTTTGGATTCACTCGACGAGAATATCCTCGCCCAGCGACTACCAAGTCAGTGGACTTTTTATCTTTGGTGTCGCTGTAATGCCTTCCTCATATGAGTCTCCATAATTGTAGATAATGAATTTCTATAATTATATAGATCCATCCTTTCCAAACTCATTTCAATACCTTCATAAACACCACTAACACACTAAATTTTGAATTACAACAATCAAACTCATTCCAAACCATTTCAATTGCAATATTACTCTTTAATTTACTTCAAAATTCGTCATACAATCAAATCATGTAATTTAGGAATCTAACTTCCAATTCAATAGGTCATGCTCATCACACAGTTCAATCATTCGTACAAATCACAGTGCAACTAACACACCAAAATTCAAATTACAATAGTCCAACTCAGTTCAAATCATTTCAATTACAATATTACTCCTTAATTTACTTCAAAATTCATTATACTAGTAAATCATGTAATTTAGGAATCTAACCCTAGTTCAATAGGTCATGCTCATCCATAATTCAATCATTCATACAAATCATAGTATAGGCATTAAATCAGTAACTTGAACATGACAAAAACTTAAAATAGTCCAATTAGCTTCACTTATCTGTGACGTCGCTCAAACAACTCTAAATACACCAAAACATCTCTAACTTCACAAGATATTTTATCTACACAAAACATCACAAAAACGATCCGAAAATATTATTATGATCAATGATCAACAAGAACACATAGAAGACAAAAAGAACACATGCAAACATAAGAAATTTCACATGCAAAAGAAAATAGATTTGAGTCTAGAGAAAATGACAAAATATAAACTTTTTCTATTGGAGATTTTAATAGTCCACCTTTGAAGAACTCGATGCTCTGATCACATAGACGATCTCTTATCATCAAACAAATAAATAGAGACAGACAATAGAGAAGTAAAAAAACTTATAAAAATTAAGATATACTATGCTCTATAATAACGGAATTCAATTCTAACTAAACTTGTTTATACTAAATCCTTTTAATATCAAAATAACTAGTCTCACTATTTTTAAATTATTATCCATTTTAAAATATAATTTTCTAGATTTTTACAATATAAGTACTAATAATATAACTTTTTAAAATATTAATATATTTGTACTCGTAATAGTTAACGTGATTATTAAATAGTTACATTATTCTAATTGAATTAAATATGCTTTTACAGTTTTCTTAGAATAATTTTTTAAAATAAATTTTAGTATATATACAATTATACATATATACATCAAGATATATATACTATTTCTTATCTGTTTAACCCTACTCAGTACTCTACGCTAAGATCAGCAAAATCAACTTAAAGAAAAATTGGTTAAAGAATGAGAAAAAACTAAACAAAAGTAATCTAATTAAAAAAATATTAAATAAAATTAATTTAATTTTTCTTAAAAAGTATAAATAAAATTAAAATATTAGTAATCTTTTTTTTCTATTTGCATGAAAATTTATTATTATTATTATTATTATTATTATTATTATTATTATTATTATTACTGAATATTATTGTGAATATAATTTATGTATGATAATATTTAAAAAAAAAGTTATACGTGATCTAAACGTTAATAACTTATACATTTATATTTATTTTAGCTTTCAGCCAAAAAAAATATTTAAGATATTATATATTTTGACATTATTTTATTTGTTATGTAATTATCATAATTTTTTTTATAAATATCGATTCGATCTGATTCTATATTCTATAACAGTTGAACCATCGGTTTAACTATCAATCCAATTTTTGAATATGGAAAATAAAATCAAAATTGTGAAGTTTCGACATTAAGAATAAAAAAACCATTATTTAAAAATAAATAAAAAAAATTAAAGTTGTATTTAAATCCAATAAATATAAAACATTTTGCTACCAAAATGCTCCTTTACTCTGGGTTCGCTTCAGAGGAATTTACTGTTGAAGATGATTAAGAAGGATGGATTTGCGAGATCATAATTGTTTGTTTGGAGGAATTAGGAGGGATCAACGAAAACGGATTTGCGAAGATTTGTGGGATTTACGTTTTTTTCTTATCCAGTTCATTTGCTCAGATTTGAGCTCATTTGATATAAAAAGTCTATTTACTTTTCTGCTGAGAAGGGAACTATTATGTGCCAGCAAGCATCAAAGCTCAGCTCAGGTAAATGTTTTTGTGAATTCTTTCTTGTTTTTGCAGGTTGGAGATGAAGAAAAATGAAGGTTGAAGATGAAATGAGAGGTTGAAGAAGAAGAAGAGAACGAAGTTCAATACGAGAAGATGAAGAATTTTCGCGTGGATTCGATTCCAGGCCATACAATATTTTTTTAATTTACCAAATTATAATTTTTTTACATTTTTAAAATTAATTTTACTAATTAATTTTAATTTTTTTTCTCTTTATAAACATTTTTACAATTAAATATAACATCAACAAATATGATTTTATATTACTTTAATAACTAGGGGCATTTTGGTAATCTTTAATTTCTACTAATTAAACAAATTTTTTAAATCTGTCACATCAATCAAATCTTACACTAATTCTCATAAACTTTACTTCCAAATCTATTCTCAATTACTTCCAAATCCATTCAAACAAACAACAACAAATTTACCTTCAAATTCATTCAATCACTTTCCCTCAAATCATCTCCCACAAATCCTCACTCGTGAACAAAGCATTAAGACTTCTCAACTGGAATACGGTGAGTGACCTAAAACTAAAAAAAAATACATTTATCTTATTTCTTATTAATTTGTTGTTTTCTGGTTGCTTCTTCAAATATTCTTTGAATAAAAAAAACAAAACAAAACAATATTTTTTCCATTGTGAAAACAATACCCAAATTGATCCGAAATAAACAGCTAGTTCAAGAATGATGTTGTTGTTCAAGTATACTAATTATTTTATGCATTAAAAATGCCAAAGTGATTTTCTTCTTCTTCTTAACTTACCAAAATGAATTAAAGAAAGCAAGTTTTTTCCCTTTTTCTTTCTCTCTAGTTTATTTTAAGGTAAAGATATCAAAACAAGTTTTATTTTGAGTTTAACTAACTGAATCCACAATGAGATTGATTTGGATTGAGTTAGAAAAAAATATAATTTTTTAAATTTAATCAAACTAAATCTGACTTATTTAACTTTTAGGTTAAACAGATTTAAGTAAAAATGGATTGATATGTAATCTAAATGATAACTTTTTATTAAATTTTGACCATTTTGTCACAATTTTTTATTATAATTATTTATTACTTAAGTTGTCAATTTTATATTTTTAAATACTAAAGTATTATTCAATAAATATTTAATTTATTTATTTGTCAAATATTGATTGATTTTGTAAGTTACAGTTACTATATTTATAATAGTATTTACTGAGATAGATGAATATTTGATTGTAGTATTATAAATAATTAATCAAGAAAATTCATTTTTATTATATTACAATAAATATATAAAATAAATTAGAAGAATAAAACATACTATAAGAAAATCAACCCATTATTCCATAATGGATCGAAAATAAATTACAAAATTTCTTATTCATAAAAAAGTAAATTAAGTTAAAT